GATTACCTTTAGGACACCTGACAGAAAGGAACTAACAGCCTTGAAGCTTTTAATAGAAGAGTTGCAAGTGCACGAAACAACTGCTGTATTTAGCTAAGCATTTAAAAAACACTTTTCATTTTAGTAACCTTACTTCTGATACCGTTCATTAGTTTTCACAGAAGAAACAACTGCTGAAACTTTTTTGACCCACCATACTAGACTAAAACTTTCTTTATCAATAAAAGAATATTAAAGCCTCACATTTTTTTTCAGATCACACTAAAGTATTATCAAACATGGTGGAACAACATGGTTATGAAACAGTAGAAATTGACCTTTCTTAGGTCTACTTGGCTTCTACTGGGATTTGGTTTACTGAGTTGTATCACTTATCCAAGGGTAGAAACTACAATTCAGAACTAACTCAAGTTAGCTCATTGCTGTTCCGGAAGCAGGGAGCCAGTGAAAGACACCAAATGCCCTACTATTTTCATTTTCTTCTTAATTTGTTGCTTAATGAAGGTACATCGAGTCACACATTTGATTCAGCATTTCTTGTTTTCCTTTAAGACAGTGTCTTTGTCATCCCTTGATTTCCTTTGGAAGGCAGCTGAAAAACAGCCCACTTGCTCAGCAGCACGTGAGCATTTTCATCATAGGAATTTCACCATGCAAAGTGACAACTGTGTCTTTTGCTCAGCTCTAATACTTGACTTCTTTTGTCAGGAAGTGAACTGATGCTGGCTTCTCTTTGTCTTATTCCAAGTTGGGCATGAGATTTTCCCTGCATTAGAAGGTTGTTGATACCTGAAGCCTGGGAAGGTAAGATGCCAGCTTGAATCCTCTCCATTTAGAACTGTGGTTTAATTGGTGATTTAAGAGCATACATCTTTCCAGCTTCTTCGTTTATAGTCTTGATGAACCCTTCAAGTAGTGAAAAAGGTCCACAATTGGAAGACCCACTGTTCATTAGTTTTCACAGAAGATAATACCCACTGATAATACCCACTGATAGAATTTATTATTTTTACATTTTAAGGTTTTATTTTTTTAAATTTTTAGGAAAAAGGAAAGCTGACATATCCCATATTTATGTGCAAATACATATTTTTATGTGCTGTTCATAGACACATAAAATATTAGGGTTGGAGAGATAGTATAAGGAGTAATGCACTTGCTTTGCATGTAGACAACCCTGGTTTGATCCTTGGCGCCATGAATGGATCCCTGCCCCCACAATCATACCCAAGAGTGACTCCTGATCACAGCTGGGAGTATGCAATGAGCACAGCTAGGTATGGACCCCAAACAAACATATATTTATATATGTATAAATATATACAATAAATATAAATGTTTATACCAAGAATATGACAGACTATAAAAATATATAGTATTTCAATGTTCAGGGCACTTGTAAACAGTGTTTTATTTGACTCTGATAGTAACCCTCTGAAACAGCTAACAGGTGTCATTTGATCTTAATCTTAGACAAGTTTAAGTGACTTGCCCAAGGTCACAGAGTCAAGCAGGAGAGTTGGACCAAGAAACCAGTTTTTTCTGGTTCCCAGTCCAGTACTCTTGCCTGAAATTAAGTGGCTCTGTGCTTATTCACCTGCATAAAACTTAGTTCTTTTCCTCTAAAGTGAAAACATACCTGGAATGCTGTACAATATAATTAATTTGTTTCCTGTCTCATATACTAAACATAGCTTCTGGGCTAAGGGCCATATTGATTCCTAGTGGTCATCAGCCAGAAAAAACAAGATGTATGACTTGGGTTCTGCCTTTGGGAAGTTCTCACCTTCGCCTCCGCTGAGATTCTACAGCTTTCCCTGGTTCATCTTTCAGTTCCAAGAGGATGCAAACAGTCCTTGCAGAAGTAAAGTCCAGAAATAATTCTGTAAGAGAGTCATATAAAGATCAATGGCTCCTTGGTTCTGTGTAAAATGCTGGTGCCAGCACCTTACCTTTCTTTTCTTTGCTTCAGCTAGTCCTACCAAGTGTCTGTCTAGATCTTCATCATTCACCCTTGTTTACCACTAAACAAGTTGGCTGTGTTTGCCTGAACGTTGATATTTATGCAATAACCAAGGTCATATCTGAAGATCTGAAAGCAGAATTCTTGAGAGGAAGGGTGCCTGCCTTGCATATGTGAGGCTTCGGTTGGATCCTTGGCTCCACAAAGTTGACCTGGAATCTTTGTGCACACTCGTGGTTGGGAAGCATTTACTTTAAGTAAATCTCTAAAGTTTTAAAACTCATTTTCACAGTTGTCTTTCTTCTTGGGCAGCACCATACTAGGTGCGCACACTTCTTGGGTTAACAACAGAGTATTCTAATTTCTTTTTGCCTTTCTCTTAGATTCTGATTTGCTAGTTAAAAAATAACAAGACTTGTGTGTTCTGGATTTTGATTTCAGAGATACCATCAGATTTTTACTTGGCTACAAGACCAGGTGTTTGTCTGGCCCTGCTGCGTGGCGAAGCACACTGGGGTTAATGGGTTTCCTTGACACACCTTTTTTCTGTTAGCTTAGATCATGACCTGACATATATTTGTAGCTTCCCCTTGATTCCGTCCAACTCAGGGCCCCCACCATCCAGATCAAATATTTCTAGTGCCATCAGACAGTCGGTCATCTTCTTCCTTAAAGTACAGTCTTATCTAAATATGAACCGTCTTAAGAAATTGGAATAATGAGGTTAGAGCTTTTTAAAAAATCATCTTTATTAGCAAGAATTATGCTGTCTTCTTTCAGGTCTTCTTTCTTTAGGGTCCTACTTCTCCTTTGTTTTTAGTTTGTTTAGTTTAGGGTGGTTTTTTTTTTAAATAATGGAAGCTGTGTCCCACATTCACATGGTTTCAAAACTTAAGGTTTATTTTTAAATTGTGACAGTAAATTTTTTTCAGCACCTAAAGCTTTTCTTTAAAAACCTCCAGAAAGTCATAAATAATTGTTACTTACAGAATTCTATTTTTATGAATAGGAAAAATGAGAAGAGTTTTTCTTTCCTTGTCACTTTAAAGATATTTTTGCAAACTCAATTTGGTTTTGGTGTTTTCTTGTTAAATTTGTCGAATGCCCCTCCGTTGCTTCTTTTGGGATGATAATGTGTATTGATTTTTATGGCAGTTTCTGTGCTGGCTTTATTGGGCATGCATGTAATGGGGGGGGTAAATTACTCACCCTTTTAGCATGTGGGATGTGGGGCTAAAGGAGAGTGGAATGAATTCTTTTTATGAAATCATTTTTCTCGCCACACTTAACCTAACTGATTTAAAACTGTGGGGGAGAGCATTTCTATTTAGTTGGATATAATTCTGATTTCCTCAGTATCTTCACCTCCATTTTAGTTTGCCACTCATAGTCCTTCTTGAAAATATTTTCTCAGCTGGAAGGATGTGGAGAAGAGAATTTAGTAGAACAAGTCTAGTTGTACTTGTCAATACCAGCTTAGAGAATGCTTTAATAAGTAACAAGCCCCAAGTGTACGTATATACGTATATCATATGTGTCTTATGCAGAATTATTGCTAAGTGAAATTGACTTGATAACTTCTCGAGTTGCTTTATAAATATAAGTGTATATTAAATTGCTACACTCTTTTAACTTAAAATAATGGAACTGAATTTGTGCTAAAGAGTGTCATTCTCATTAAGTCATATTGGTCTTTTTTAAAACAACCCTTTGTTTTTTTTAAATTTTTATTAGTGAAACACCATGAGGTACAGTTGTAGATTTACAAATTTTTGTGCTTGGGTTTCGGTTATACAATGATCAAATACCCATCCCTCCACCAGTGCCCATTTTCCACCACCATGGATAATATCCCTCCCCCCCCCATTTCCCCCCATCCCACCCTGTCTCTGTGGCAGGGCATTCCCTTTTGTTCTCTCTCTCCTTTTGGGTGTTGTGGTCTGCAAAAGAGGCATTGAGTGGCAAACATGTTCAGTCCATAGTCTACTTTCAACATTCATCTCCCCTCCTGGGAGGATCCTCCAAACACCCTTTATTTGGTGCTCCCTTCTCTATCTGAACTGCCCTTTCCCCTAGAATACCCGGCTGGCCTGTAAGCTATGGAGTAATCCTCCTGGTGTTGATCTCAGCTATTCTTGGGTATTAATCTCATATTTTGTAAAACAACCCTTTAAACATACTGACACAGTAAAATTTAACTGGTAAGTCCAAATATTATACAGATTAGTTGTCATGTGATTTTAAGAGCTGAAATCAATTTACTATAAAATGAAAAAAATGTATTCAAGGAAAGGTAAGTAATGAGGTACAGAGTACAACTTTTGCTTTTTTGGTTCATACCTGGTGATGCTCAGGAGTTACTCCTGGCTCTGCACTCAGGAATTACTGTTGGTGGGGCTTGAGGGACCATAAGGGATGCAGGAGATTGAACCCGGGTCGCCAAGGCAAATACCCTACCTGTTGTACTATCATTCTGGGCCAACTAGAACTATCTCAGAGTAGTTATAAGTAATTACCGGACTCTTCAGTTGCTATAAACCAACAGTATTGAAGCCCAGATTATTTCTATTCCATGTAGATCACTGTATATGCTGATCATTGAAGAATAGAAAGAAACTCTGCTGTTTATAAACATTTGAACTAGGTTCAAGGAAGAAAACAGTGAGAAAAGGGATGGTGATTTAATAGTGGGATTTGAATGGTCAGCACTACTGAAGAAAAATGCATTTACAGCCGCATCTACACAAGACAGAACCAACGCAGATAAATTTGAGTTGAGTGTGGATACTACATCACTAAAAATCTAAAAGCTAAAGGGACAAAATACGCTGTCATTTCCCTGGAGCACTCTATGAAGCAGTTTGAAAACCGGGAATGGGGAATGCCAAGACCAGGCCTTGTTCCTCTGGCTCTTTGAGTGCCTGGGAAGCACAGAAAAGGTTCTCCTTCCCCTCCAGGCCAGCTGGAAACCTTTTATTTTCTGTATTCGCTAATGAACTAGAGAATGCATTCTGTCCTCTGAAATTTTGTTCTGTAGATGCGTTGAAAACTATACAGGAGCGCGCTGTGAAGAAGTCTTTCTCCCGAGCACCAGCATCCAGACCAGAAGTGACCTGTCTACAGCTTTTGTGGCCTTGACCCTTCTTCTAGGGACATTCATCATCGGAGCCCTCTACTTCCTTTGCAGGTAATGGAAATAGAAACAGGCCCTAAGGAGAAAAAGCAACGAATGGTCTAATACGTAATTAATGTACTCTTTGGTTCTAGGTGTTTCTCCGGGGAGTGTTTTATGTTTAGAGTGCTCTCCCTAATAGAGTGTTGGTTATGAAATTGCTGTGCCATTTTGGAAAGGATCTTAAACCATCTCTTATTTATTTATTTATTTATTTATTTGGTTTGGGGTCACCCCCGGTGGCGCTCAGACCTCATTCCTGGTCTGGCTCTGTGTGCAGTGATCACTCCTGCCATGGCTCCGGGTGACACACATAGGGTGCTGGGGATGGGACCTAGGTTGGGCACAGGCAGGGCAAGCACCCTACCCACTGTACTATCACTCCAGCCCCGCTAATTATATTCTGAAATGTCCTGTAACCATTCATTAATTAGAGTTGGTAGCTTAAAATCTAAAATCCTAGGGCCAAGGGGGCCGGAGCAATAGTACAGCAGGGAGGGCATTTGCTTTGCACATGGCTGACCTGGGTTCAATCCCCGGCACCTCATATGGTCCCCTGAGCACCATCAGGAGCAATTCCTGCAGAGCCAGGAGTAACCCCTGAGCATTGCTGGGTGGGACCCCCCAAGAAAAAGAAAAAGCAAAAAAAAAATCCAGGACCAGTTTTCTGAGTGAATTCTTTAAAAAAAAAAAGAAAAAAAGGGGGTGTGGGAGGGGGACACATACACAAAAAAAACACTAATACATGCTGTGAGAATACTGATGTGTTCAGTTTTCTGACCAGCATCTCTGTGTTACTCAAGCCCGCACACATCCATACTCGCTGCTGGGGTGGGCTGTCAGGGAGGAGCTCCCCAACCCGCAGTCTCCCACGACATGCCTTTGCTCAGCCTTTCGGAGACTGGAAGTTCGGGTCAGGTGGCTGGCAGGACTGGTTCTGGGTGAGGCCTCCCTTCCTGGTGGGGCCTTCACTGGTGGCCCCCTTGGTGTTCCTCTCTGCACATGCACAGATAGAGCCATCACTTTCTGGGACTTGCCTGCAAGGACATCAGATTAGTGCTTTGGAACTCTGAGCAATCTCCACAAAAGCCCCATCCCCAAATACCGGCAGATGGAGGGCCTCAATTTATGCTTTTAGGAGAGGGTGGTGAGCACAGTGTAATCTTTAACAGAGATAGTGCATTCGTGCTCTGCAGAAAGGGAAAACCGATGGGATTGGGCAGGTTTATCTCAAGGAATAATAGAGGATGACAGGTTCAAAGTCTAAAGAGTGCTGGGGCCCAAGAACCGTAATACTTTCCTAGCACACAGCCCACTTGGGTTCTATCCCCAGCACCCATAAGGTCCCCTGAGCCCTGCCAGGAGTAAGCCCTGAGCCCAGCTGGGGGTGGTCCAAAAACAAAAACAACTGCTTAGAAAGAGAGAGGAGTGGAGAGAGAGGAGAGAGGAGAGAGGAGACAGGGGAGAGAGATGAGAGAAGGGAGAGAAGGGAGAGAGAGAGGAGAGAGGAGAGAGGAGACAGGGGAGAGAGATGAGAGAAGGAGAGAAGGGAGAGAGAGGCGAGAGGGGAGAAAGGAAAGAGAAAAGAGAGAGGAGAGAGGGAAAAAAGAAATAAGTCTAGAGAGTGGACAGGCTTACTGAAGACTCAAAGGAAAATCAGTTTATATCTGAACCATCTCCTGAGCAAATTTCTTTTTATTCCAAGCCTTTGTCTTATTAAAGCTTTAGACTGGATATGGTCCACCCCACATCAATGACAGCAATCTGAAAAATAATAAATAAATAAAAATAAAGCAAAACAAAAACAGCTTAATAGAAGTATCCAGAATAATGTTTGCAGTGACCCAGAAAAACTGATACATTAAATTAACTATCATGGTATGAAAAAAGATTCACAGGCTAGTTTTACTCATGTAAAGAAGTTAGAGAAGTTAAAATTAAAATTAAAAGGCGGGTAGAGAGAGAGAGAGCAGTGAAGGACAAGGTACTTGCCTAGCACCAGACTTAATCCAGGCCAACTAAAGCTCAATCCCAGGCACGCTGTGAGCCCCACAGGGGTGATCCCTGAGCCCAGAGCCAGGAGTAAGCTCCAAGTTCCATCGGATGAAGCCCAAAGACAAATTAGCAAAACAAATCCAGAAATGTACTTAAAAAATGATCTTGGGTTAACGCAAAATTGGTATAAAATTAAGATATTTTTATTATTACATTTAATCTAATTTATTTATTGATGAAGAAATATCTTTGACTTTAATAAAAATAAAAATAAACTATTACCAAAACTAATGGGCTGGAGTGATAGCACAGCGGGTAGGGCGTTTGCCTTGCACGCAGCCAACATGGCCAACCCGAGTTCGATTCCTCCGCCCCTCTCAGAGAGCCCGGCAAGCTACCGAGAGTAAGTATCTCGCCCGCACAGCAGAGCCTGGCAAGCAACCCAGGACATATTCGAGATACCAAACACAGTAACAATCGTCACAATGGAGACGTTACTGGGCCTGCTCGAGCAAATCGATGAACAATGGGAGGACAGTGACAGTGTAACCAAAACTAAAAAAGAACCTACAAAAAAATAGCAGCTGATAAATTTTAGGTAATGCTTTTCCATGAAAGGCACTGACATTATTATTTAGCCTCATGGAAGAAAACAAAGCTATTTCTTTGCCTCAGAGCATGCCTCAGAATGAGTACTGGTATACTGAAGGTTTAACTCTGAAAGACAAAGACTCTCATTGACACTTAAAGAGACACTGTCACTGTCCGTTGTTCATGGATTTGCTCGAGCTGGCCCCGAAACATCTCCATGGTGAGACTTGAAGAGTATCTTTGACTATTGGAGGTATAAATTTCTGAAATAATATTCAAGGAGTGTAAAGTAAAGTAGTAAAGGCCCTCCCATTGATCATCGATTTGCTCAAGCGGGCCCAGTAATGTCTCCATTGGAGACTTTGTTGTTACTGTGTCTGGCATATACAAAACTCTCGGTAGCTTGCGGGGCTGTAAGCCATTTAAATTTGTTTGTGCCTGCCTAGGAGGCAGGCTTAGGAAATGGGTGGGACATTGTGGAGGGAAGGTCACACAGGAGGTGGAACTGGCGTTGGAACATTGAACGCCTGAAACAACTGTATCATGCACAATCTTGTAAATCACAAGTGTTTAAATAAGATAATTTTTCTTAAGAAAATAAGTATAAGGCATAAGTGTTGATAAATTTTCCTACTATTGAAAACATCTAGTTATCAAAAGTCAGTATTTAAAAGGCCAGGTTTCAAAGTGGAAAATGTTTGTGGCATGAAACTTATCTGTATATGTTTACATATATGTGCATATATGTACATGTTTTGAATATATCAGCAATGATATAAAACAATAAGAAAATTGATAAACCATGGTATGTAGCTTAGGCTGGGAAGATGCTCACTGGCCTGGAGGACTTGTTTTGCTTGAAGGAGGCCCCGGGTCCCATCTGCATGGTACCCCCCCCCCCCCGGCATTCCTCCCTTCTGACAAGCACCATGCCAGGAGTATCCCATGAGGACACCAGGTTTAGCTAAAAAACAAAGCAAAAGAGATGCAGCTTAAGAGTGAGAGCACGTGCTTTGAATGGGTGGGGCTTGGGGTCCTACCCCAGGCATTGCAAGATCCCCTAAGAAGTACCCTGAGCTTTGCCAGGAGCAGTCCACTCCTCACCCCTCATCCCTCGGTAAAAGGCAAATATCTTGATAGTGGGAAAAAGAACTGAAACATTTGGGAAGTTTCGTCAGCGAGAAAGAAGTAGGATCCTAACATTCTCACAAAAATAACTTCCTTGAATAACTTTCAGATAGGGTAGTAGAATGCTTAAGTGTGTTTACTTTTCCGTTTTTGAGTCACACTACCAGCAGAGCTATTTTCACTTGTATGGCCTGTGTATCAATGCCAAGAATCAGGTTAATTTGAAAAATTGTATGTGGCTATTGCTTATGGACTCAGGATGTGGATGTCTGGGCTCGTGTATGCTGACCAAGTAATGTGTTTGACAGAAACAAGATGCTTTCAAGAATAAGACCAAGTGCCTACTCACTGTCACCGTTTTTATGTCCATTAGTGGTTGGAATCACTCTCGGCTGTGGGACTTTTGAGACTTGGTAATTAATGAGTGCTGTCTTTGAATGGAACTCAGTCAGAGCCCACTCATGCAGAAATCCATGCCAGAATCAATAGTGTCTTAGGAGGAGGAACCACTGTGTTAGAGAACATTGCAGCTTTTCATTTGACTGTGGTGAAAGTGGTTTTGAACTCATTCTCATTAAGGTAATACCGGGGAATGAATACATTGGGAAAAAAATGAAAAGTGTATTCCAAAATCATCTTTCATACTACGTGTGGGTTGTCTTTTTTCCCGTTGTTATTGTTGTTGCCATGGCCAAGGGTTGTGACACATTTATTTGGTTGTGGTGAAAGAGGTGTGTGTGGAGGGAAGGGTGTCATACTGGTTTTGGCAGCCAGCAACCATGCAGGCAGTACTGGGCATCAAACTCAAGGCCACACATATGCAGGCTAGGACCTCTCCCAACTAAACCACATCTCCAGCACCTTCCCTTCCCGCGGGGACTTCTGCTGTTGCTGTTCCGTTATCAGCACCCGAATGCTGTTATATTACACATTAGATGATGGTAGGACCAAAAGCATGAGGTGCAGCCTTTACTTTTTTAAAAAATCGAATCACTGGGAGAGACAAAGTTACAAAGTTGTTCATTATTGGGTTTCAGTCATACAGTGTTCCAACACCCATTCCCTGCACCAGTGCACATTTCCTGCCACCAGTGTCCCAGTTCCCTCCTTTCCACCACTCCCCTCCCCCAGCCTACCTCTATAGCAAGCACGTTTCTTTTCTCTCTCTCTGCCCCCTTTCTCTCTTTCTCCCCTCTCCTTCTCCCTCCCCCCCCCCCCCCACCAAACACAGGTATACACACACTATGGCATTATGGTTTGCAGTTTTAAAAATTTCAATTGAAAAGTTATCATATACATCACTGTACCTCCTTTCAGCACCCAGTTCTTGTCCAGAGTGGTCATTTCCAACCATCATTGTCACAGTGGTCCCTTCTCTGTCCTAATTCCCTCCCCCCCCACACACACACACACTTGTGGCATGCTTCCAACCATGGACTAGTTCTCCTGGCCCTCGTTTCTACTCTCCTTGCATATTCCTCTCATACCTTATTAAGTCCCACAACTGAAAGCAATAATTTTGTGTCTGTCCCTCTCCTTCACTCAGCAGAGGTTCAGCCTTTGAAGTGCATGTTTTGATACATTTTTATTTTGTTTTGCTGGAGAGACAGTTCAGCAGCTGAGGCATTTGCCTGGCACATGGCTGACCTGAATTCAATCCCCAGCCCCATATATGGTCCCCCAAGCACCACCAGGAGTGATCTTTGAGCACTTCTGGGTGCAGCCCACACCCAAAGCCCCCTCCCCACCAAAATATATGTTTTTAAGGGGCTGACGAAACAGAAGCTTGCTCAGGCAGCCTGGGCCCACTTATGGTCCCCCAAGTCCTGCCAGAAATGAGTACAGAGCCAGGAGTAAGCCCTGAACACTGCTAGGTGTGGCCCCAAAACCCAAGCAATAAAAATAAGAACAAATAAGAAGTACTGTTTTTAAAAATGCCATGAGTAAAATAGCTGTCCAAAGCCACACAAGTCCCAGGAGGGTCCCAACTAATAATATAATCAGTTTCTTAAGAAAGAAAGAAAGAAAGAAAGAAAGAAAGAAAGAAAGAAAGAAGAAAGAAAGAAAGAACAGAATAGCATTATTCTAAAAATGCAGCTGCTCTGGAAAGGGAAAAAAGACTAAATGGTATAGCAGGCCTCAGACATCCCAAGTGATCCACCTATGCAGGTAAGGGTATATGACACAAGAGCGGCTGTGGCACTAAGGGACTGTGGAAATGACGTTGGGGTTCTCCCTGCTCTCCTGCTGGCCTGTGTCCCAGCTCTGTGTGCTTCTCTCCTCTCTTGCCATCAGGAAAGGCCCCCTTCAGAGGACCACGTCCCTGCGCGACGATATGACCCTGGCAGAGATGAGCAGCAGCAGCGCCCACCATGGTGAGCAGATGTCACCCGTCACCCACTGCTCTGCTGCTGCTACGGAGGAGGGTGGTGCTGCTGGCAGAGACCTGGCTCTGAACAGAAAGGCTGACCACCAAACTGGCTTGAGTTCCCGTTTCCTTTGCTTGGGCTTTTGCTTGTTTGGAGAATCCCATCTGGTGGTACTCAGGGCTGACTCCTGCTCTGTGTTCAGGGATTATTCCTGGCTATACTTAGGGGAGCATTTATGGTTATTGGGGATGGAACCAGGGTCAACTGCATGTCTTGGGTTTTTTTTTTGTTGTTGTTTTTTCCCTTTTTTGGGTCACACCGGTGATGCTCAGGTGTTACTCCTGGCTCTGCACTCAGGAATCACTCCTGGCGGTGCTTGGGGGACCATGTGGGATGCTGGGGATTGAACCTGGGTCAGCTGCATGTAAGGCAAATGCCCAACCTGCTGTGCTATCGCTCCAGTCCCTCAACTGCATGTCTTACTATCTCTCTGGCTCCCTCTGCACCCTTTTTTGCTGTTGCTATTGTTTCGGGGTCAAACCCGGTGATGCTCAGGGATTACTCCTGGCTTTGCACTCAGGAATCACTCCTGGCAGTGCTCAGGGGACCATATGGGATGCTGGGAATCGAACCCAGGTCAACCACATTCAAGGTAAATGCCCTACCAACTGTACTGCCGCCTCTGGTGCCTATGAATCCTTTTTCGCCCTAAAGTGAATCACCTATTAGCAGTCTGACATCAGTTGTCCTTTTCCCCCAAAGTAAACCACATTTTGTTTCTTTTCTTTTTTTTGGTGGGGGGGTGGGGTCACACCTGACATTGCTCAGGGGTTACTCCTGGCTCTGCATTCAGGAATTACTCCTGGCATGCTCAGGGGACCATATGGGGTGCCTGACAAACCTGGGTCAGCCATGTGTAAGGCAAACACCCTACCCGCTATACTATTGCTCTGGCCCAAATCACATTTTCTAAGCACCTGACAGTGTTGGCGATAGCAAGCTATAGGTATGGAAGGGGTTGGTTTCTTTAGAAGGAATTTGAAGGGAGCTGGTCTGTAAGGAAGAAGAGGACTTAGGCAAGACTTTGGGAAATTTGAACTGAAGACCAGTTAATGTTTGAAAGTGTCTTGGCCAAGAAGAAATGACCAGGGATATACTCCCTACTAAGAACCAGTACCAAAATAAATAAATAAATAAATAGAAGACATCCCACAGAAAACTGTGGCTTTTAAGACGGGGAGGTCACAAAGGCCAAGGAGCAGGAATCCTGAGAGCAGATCCCAATGGGGAGCCAGGTTGCCTCGATGCTTGCAGAGACTGAGTTTCTGGATGCTGGCAAGATGGGGCCCAGGCTGAGCCTGGCCAGTTCCCTGAATCGGGAACCAAGCTAAGAGTCCAGAAAGGTCAAAAGGTGGCTTGAATTCCTGGGCCAGGGTGTCGTGAGCAGCAGCTCTGAGAGACCCAGGGGACCCACTGAGGGTTCACCAGCACCAGTTAGAGATTAGCAAGGAGATCTGAAAGGATCAGCGGCACCCAGAAAGCACACAGGGACAGGAAGAGTGTTTACCCCAGTAACACACTGAGACCCCCCCCCCCCTCGCTGTTCATAGAGCACCCAGTCATGGAGAATAGATTTAGCATGCCCAGTCCTCAATAACAAACCTGCAAAGAAAGAGTCAAAAGAATCAAGTTGCGCCCAAGTAGTTTAACTGCATCCCTGGTCAAAACTTAGTGATACAAACTAAATCCAATACTTGGCAGATAAATTTTACCTCTCACCTTCAACTGCAGTCAGCCTTAGGACTTCACTCAGCTAAGTCATTCATAAAAAGCACCACATAGAACAAAAGACCAAGACATGACTGTCTTATTAGATATGAAATGGTATTTGACAGAGGTCAACATCTAGTCATAATAAAAATCTCTCAACCAAACAGCAAGAGAAGAAAAAGGCCCCAGCATGACTAAAATCTCTCTCTCTCTTTTTTTTTTTTGCTTTTTGGGTCACACCCACTGATACTCAGGGATTACTCCTGGCTTTGCACTCAGGAATCACTCCTGGTAGTGCTCGGGGGACCATATGGGATGCTGGGAATCGAACCAGGTCAGCCGTGTGCAAGGCAAACACCCTACCTGCTGTACTATTGCTCCAGCCCCTAAAATCTTAATCAGTGGCGAGGACTGAAGGTTTCCCTCTAAGATCCAGGGCGAGGCAATGCGCCCTGTCCCCATTCCTCAGTGTTGTACTGAAAAGCCCCCCTTGAGCCCTGGGATTGCCTAGACAGAGCTCCCCAATTTTCTTCCACTTGGCAACCACCTTTTTTTGTTTGTTCAGTTTTTGGTTTGGGTATTTAGGCCACACCTAGCAGTGCTCAGGGGTCTCCTAACAGGCTTAGGGTCAAACTCAGGGTGGTGTCATAAAAGGTGAAATAGCAGTAATACAACTATACAATCACTCTGGCCCCTTGAAACATTTTTTGTCCAAAAAAATTTTATGTGACTCCAGGTCTACAGATACACGAGACATCTACTGATAATCACACATTAATTCATTTATTTTGGGCTCTTTGGGTCACACCTGAAGATGCTCAGGGGTTACTCCTAGCTCTGTACTCAGGAATTACTCCTGGCAGTGCTGGGGGACCATATAGGATGCCAGAAATTGAACCCGGGTTGGCCGCATGCAAGGCAAATGTCCTACCCACTGTACTATTGCTCCAGTCCCATACATTTATTTTTAAAAGGTTTTTATTTTTTCTTAAGTTGCCCATATGAGGCTGCAGCCCACAGTTTAACTTGTTGACACCAGTTTATACCACCAGTGGCTCACACTTGGCTGTGGCTTCATTCAAGAAGCAGAACCTAGGAAAGAGGCAGGAAGACAGGAAAGGCAGAGACAGGCGCTCCTCTCCTGAACAGTGACGCCAACACCACCCTCTGTGTTCCACAGCTAGTTGGAGAGCAAGGCTCTCTGGGAATGTTCTAGACTAGTTCACATCAACCCTTCACATCCCAAACAGAAGGGGCAGGTTCCACGGGGCATGAGAGATGTGGGTGACTGGGGTAGCTGTGCCTAGGAAAACTCAGGTGGCAAGGACATCTTCATTCGTGTTTTGCCCAGGTCCCGGGGAACAGTGAGGAACTATCTGAAGGGATGACATCATTGCTTCTGCTTATAAAGGCAGAAAATAAAACACACCAGCAGGTAAGTGAAAAGATTCAACCCTTCTTCCCCCACCCCCAATAAAGCATCAGTCAGCACATGACTGGAAAGCGAAGGGTCGTTCTGGCCCAGGGACAGAACTGGGGGTCAGTGGGGGTGGGGGTTGGGTGCCAGTATTTCAGACACTGCATTGGTTCACATGTTACTTTTTCCCCATCAAATCAGAGACAGTTATTTTTTCCCCCTCACAACCCAACAGGAACTCTCAGTAATACATGTGGATCCCAAGTAAGGAATGGTGGAAATTTTTCCAGGTGAGGAGCGGGCACGTTTCCTGCAGACATCCAGCTTTGCATGATGGGACGCCGTCTGGGGAAGCTGCCAAGTCGATGAAAGAGCTGTGAAGTCATTTCACCTCTTGATTGGAAAAGCGCGGATTGATTAAGGCTACCTCACTGTTCGTATGGGCGAAATGGTTTTTCTTAGAAAAGGAGAAAGGGGGAAAAAAAGCAGCACAAACCCCAAAGACTCCAAAGGGCAAACTAATTAATTAGTGCAAACAACCCGCAGGGATTGAGGAGGGCTGCTTGTGTGACTGCTTGGCATCCAAACCTCCAAACCCAATCTCCTCGGAAAGATGGCCATCCTTGGAGAGGTTTTGCAGAATATGGACTTCCAGGCAGTAAAACAGTGTGGGTAGAGGAAGCGCTAGAATGTCTTCGCTTTTTCTGACTGTGCTGTGGCTCTTAAGCAGACTGGTGAGTGGCTTTCGAGGCGGGAACAGGCAGTTGTGAAGCAGTCGTTAGGCAGATGAGCAAGCCCTGGCTCCGTGGCCAGGCTATGAACCATACCCGGCCTGACCCCCGTCCCCATTCTGGCTTCTGGCTTGTCCCGAGTAGGCACCCCGTGGTCCAGCTCTGAAGGTGGCGTTCTTGTCTTGTTCCCGCTGTTTCTCTGCTGCTGCTGATGTTCACTGTCGTTTTCATAGGTAGACTGTGTTGAGGGGAATTCAACAGCAGGGCTTCAGCTGGTGATGCTCAGAAAAGGCGGGTGCTGGCAAGGTTCAGACTCCGGTTGCCTTGCACACACCCTAACCTCTGGACGTGCTCCCCAGTTCCCACATGTCGCCTTTTAGTATGGTGGCTTTTGGTTTTGAGCCACACCCTGCTGTGCTCAGGGATCACTCCTGGTGCTGCCTGGGGGGACCACATGCAGTGTCAGGGATTGAACCCCAGGGGATGCCTGCAAGGCAAGCCCCCTATCTGCTGTACTACTAGCCCTAGAGCTCCCTACTAGCCCCGACATCTTTATTGTTAATAATGTGACTTTTGGGGGCTGGAGCAATAGCACAGCGGGTAGGGCGTTTGCCTTGCATGCGGCAGACCCAGGTTCGATTCCCAGCATCCCATATGGTCCCCCGAGCACTGCCAAGAGAGATTTCTGAGTGCATGAACCAGGAGTAACTCCTGGGCATCGCTGGGTCATGGTCACGGTCACGGTCCTCCCGTTGTTCATCGATTTACTCAAGCGGGCCCAGTAACGTCTCCATCATGAAACTTGTTGTTACTTTGTTTGGCATATCTAGTACGTCACGGGTAGCTTGCCATGCTCTGCCGTGCGGGCGAGATAATCTTGGTAGCTTGCCAGGCTCTCCAAGAGGGGCGGAGGAATTGAACTCGAGTCAGCCATGTTGGCTGCATGCAAGGCAAACGCCCTACCGCTGTGCTATTGCTCCAGCCTGTATCACTGGGTATGACCCAAAAAAGCAAAAAAAAAAAAAAAAAAGTGACTTTTTTCTTCTGTTTCTCCTGAATGAGCATTTTTTTAAATGTAAGAGTCACGT